TATATATATATATATATATACGCAAATATGTGTGTTATGGTGTTTACGAGTAATCTACAATTGATGTAATCTGTCTTTATAGAATAAATTATTGAATAACTAATTTATAAAAAAAAACTTCAGAAATGAAGTGCAGCGGAAGGAATGAATTTCATTCTATTTAAAAGCTGTGATTTAATAAGAAGTAAATATAAAAGTAGATGTGTTGCTGCAGCTCCAGTCTGATAGATTAGAAGCATTTTCCATCCCTGCTGACAACAAAGAAAGGACTGTGGTGGAGGGAGAAGCCGGCTGTTGTTTGGAGCCCCCACCCACCCACCAACCAACCCACGCACCCCACGCCCCATCCCCGCCGCCTCCCTTCCCATTCTCTGCCCTCCTCATCCCGCCTGTCTGCTGCCTGCTCTCCCCGCATCCATAGCAAGCTTCCCGCACTCATTCAGCTCCTGCTCCCGCACCTCCTCTAATGATAGAAGTGCCTGATTGAAGCTGCGGGATCAGCGGCGCGTTTAGCGGTGAGTAATCTCTGTAATCTCTGAGCTCCTCCGGGCTGCTCACTCACATTCCCAGTCTGGATTATTACGCATCCGAGTCCCTTAATCCTGATGGCACCTTTAATTAAACCGGAATATAAAACCCATCAGTGGTGATGCTGCTTCCCAGGCTACATGTTGTTCTCTTTATTTCCTTTGAAGCCTGAAAGATGTTTTCTTCCTTTCTTGTCTTCCTGTGTGAGAATGTTCTAGAAACAGCCCGCCTCGCTGCCCATTCAGTGCTGTAATCTCACACTGACTGGAGCTCACAGCGGCCAGAATGAGCCTTTAAAAGGTTAATTTAAAGTTTAAAGTCAGAGTGTGTGTTTGGACGTGTCTCTCATGCTGATGCCTCCCTGTCCTGCTTTCACTGGCTGCTGCTTTGGGCCGCATTGTTTTCATTCCCAACTGATTCCAGGGTTCAGTGAGTTTGCAGATCCTTTCATTAAAATCCAACATGTCTAATTCTCTGAATTATTTATTCTTTCTTTTCCACCAGTCTCACTGTCTGTCAGCAGCTCGATCAGAATATAACATCATCTTGATCTGTTTGGATGACAACAGGATGTTTTCTGATCTCCAAAAGCCTGCAGGACACTAATTGATTGAATTAATTGGGGGGATATTATCTGATTTTAATAAACCGATCCAAGGATCATCGACATTTTTATTAACTAAATTTTAGCCTTTAAACCAGGGGTCTTCAATGTTTTCCACGCCAAGGACCCCCAAGCTGATAGCAAGATGGAGCGGGGACCCCCTAATTATATATATTGAATGAAATTGTGTTATATCAAACTGGTCCTATAGTCACTCTATTACATATGGAGTAATGTAACAAAAGTAAATTTGATTCTTAAAGTATTTGTCTGATTCTGATTCCTGGTTGATGGGACAGGTGTTGTGAATGAAACGGTGCCCAGATTGAAAGAGCTCCTGTGTGTCGCTGAATGTGAGCATTGATGACTGAAAGACATCTTCTGCCTCCATTTATCTGTTTACTACAGTGTGTTGAATTAATGTTAATGTGGATTTAAAGACATTTCAATTAGTGGAAAATATTGCAGTTATTGCAAAACTTTTGCGACCCCCATGCAGTACCTCCACGGACCCCCTAGGGGTCGCGAACCCCCTGTTGAAGACCTTCCCTTTAAACTAATTAAAGGTTGCAACTTTCTCATCAAAATTGTTCTTTTAAAATAATATAATACATCCAGAGAAGATGATTAGTTTCACTGAAAAAAGAAAACATTGTTTGAATAATTGTTTTTAAAGGAAAATTCCAGTCAGCAGGAATAATCAATAGATCATTATTTATACCTAAAACTAATACGTTTGCTGTGATTTAATGAAATTTGCGTTAATCAGTTAATAAAATAAAAATTATATTTTTTCTTCACCATCAATGAATCTGGGAGTGGCCATTTTTGCCCAGATATAGTAACCCCTCCCTCCTGCCATCTTCTGGCAGTGATGTCATGG